TAGGGCTGTTGTACATAGGGTTGCTATGAGTCACAAATGACTCAACGGCACATAACAACAATGTTGAGATGCAATCCATACTGAAGGCTGTAGTCCTTGATCTTCTGCAGCAAGTACTTCAAGTCTTCCTCACTTTCAGTGAACAATGTTGTGTCATCTGTATAATGCAGGTTATCTGTATGAGTCTACCTCAGTTCCTGATACCTCATTCTTCTTCATAAAGTCCAACTTCTTGAATGATCTGTTCAGCATATATATTGAAAAGGTATGGAGAAAGGATATATCCCTAGTGGACTCCTTTCTTGATTTTGAACCCTTGCTCTGTTCTGACAACAGCTTCTTTGTCTAGGTAGGTTTCCCATGAGCACCATCAAGTGTTCTAAGATTCCCATTCTTCTCAATATTAGCCATAATTTGTTGTGATCCTCACAGTCAAATGCCTATGCTAGTCGATAAAATACAAATAGACATTCTTCTGGTACTCTCTGCTTTCAGCCAAGATCCATCTGACATCAGATATATTATCCCTGGTGCCACAGCCTCTTCTAAAGCTGGCTCATATTTCTGGAGGTTCTTTTTTGATGTACTTAACCAGACGAACTGTGGAATGACATCAAAGATATCATCTATGAAGTAAACAAAAGGTCATTACAAAGACAGAGAAGGAAGAAAATACCTAAATGGATGTCAGAAGATACTCAGAATATTGCACTAGAATGCCAAGAAGCCAAGACAAAAGAAAGACATTACAAAGTTAAAGAGCTAAACAGAAAATGTCAAAAAGCAGCTCATGAAAACTAAGTACCATAATGAAATGTGCAGAGCTAGAGTCTGCAAGAGATAGGATGGGGGGGGGGGACCTATCAGCTTCTCTTAGTAACGCTTCATCTTTTTTATTGTTGTTGATGCAGGTGAAGCATCTGAATGGAGAAGAGGATGGCAGCAGTGATCAGAGTCAGGATTCTGGAACTACAGGTGGCCAAAGGGTCTCAAAGGCTCTAATGGCTTCTATGGCCCGCCGAGCCTCAAGGGGCCCAATAGCCTTTTGGGCCCGCAGGGCATCAAAGACTCGGTTGGCTGCTTGGGCCCAGAAAGCCTTACTCTCTCTGAAATCACCAATGACCCATAAAGGCAAGACTCACCGTAGAACTGCCAAACAGCAATTGTCCCAACACCCTGAAGTGCCATTGCCTCGGAATGTAGCCCTTCTGCAAGGGAGGGTAAGAATTCTGTCCTCAACACTCTTTTTCACTGCCTTACCTGCCCCATTTTCTGCCATCTGATAACATAAATTGATCTATTTTCTCTCCTAGGCAAATGATTTGGTGAAGTACTTGTTGATTAAAGACCAGACAAAGATCCCTATCAGGCGCTCAGGTAAAGTACTAATCCCCTCTCGTATTCAAGTCCACCCTCCATTGCCCTCTTTCCCATGTCTATTGTCCTCCCAAATGTCTAATTTTTCAGTGGTACCATTTCTCTTTATTAGCTTGGAACCCTAACTATACCATCCACAGGAGGGTTAACAAAGGGCCTATAGTTTGAGCATGGGATCTCCTAGGGGTTTTTTTTTCAGTCCCGCCCCTGCATCACTCTTCCCTTACAGACATGCTGAAGGACATCATCAAAGAATACACTGATGTGTACCCTGAAATCATTGAACGAGCAGGCTATTCCTTGGAGAAGGTGAAGGGGCAACCTTGGGGGATGGGCACATTGGAAAAATCTTCAATTAACAAAGGCACACATACTCTTTGTGGGAGGGATCACAGAGACTCACTAGTCTATTCCCATCACTGTAGAGATGGTAGGTAGACTGGTCTTTGGATAGAAAAATATAAATGAGCCATGGATCACACAGTAAGTCAATGATAAAAGCACATCTGGGACCCAAATCACTCAGATTAGTGTCCATTTCTGGACTTGTTCTGTAACATTATCAGAGATTCACCTCTCCTTTTCATTCTCTATATCTTACTAAGCACAAATATGATGTTGTGTACAAAAATAGTACATTTAATGCAGTCATTTAGCTTAGTGCTCTGTGTATTATCTCACTGATTTTTCTTTCTTGGTGCAAGCGTGCACATGCACACACATTCATATAAGTACAGGAAATTTAGGAGACCCAATAAGCTGATTTACATGATCTCACAAGTTGTTTTTCCTATCTATAGGTATTTGGAATCCAGCTGAAGGAAATTGATAAGAATGACCACTTGTACATTCTTCTCAGCACACTAGAACCCACTGATGCAGGCATACTGGGAACGTAAGCTGAAGGGATGGAGTATCCCTGTCCTCTCCCCCCATATCCTCTTAAACACACAGAAAAGACAAGGCCTTGTCCAGCTTCCACACCTGATTGAGCCTCTACACACAGTAGTGGTGCTCAGTAATATCTTCTTGCAGGGTCGAGAAGCTTGGGGTGGGACATTCCTGTTGCCAGGTTTTCTGTCTCTCCAGAGGTTTCCCAGGAAATCAGGCCTTTCATTGCTTATCTCTTCCTGCCGGTGCCTGGCCTATCCTTGTATCATGATTTTTCAAGGGATAGTTCCCTGGTACAGGTATATCATGAAGCTTCAAGGTAAGAAGAGTCATGTCTTTTGCAAATGACTACTAGACAGAAACTTTTTCTTTGTTCTATTGCTACCTTAGGACCAAAGACTCACCCAAATTGGGTCTTCTTATGGTACTTCTTAGCATCATCTTCATGAATGGAAATCGATCTAGTGAGGGTGAGTGGCTGGGACTGTAGCTGAATAAGGGGCCATGGTTTGAATTCCATGTGTTCATTTTCTGTCCTTATCCTCTTCATTCCTTCCTTACAGCTGTCATCTGGGAGGTGCTGCGCAAGTTAGGGCTGCGCCCTGGGTATGACTGAACTCTCAATGCTTGCTGTCCATGTTGTCCTTTGGCAAGATAGGATGGTCCCAGTATTGCATCATCCTGGTAGTCTAGTAGAGTGGTTGGGAGTTCTGGATTGGGTAGAGGACCTAGGGTTTTGATCTGGGTGGATGAGGAAATGGTTTCTATCCATTTCTCGCCCTTTTTTAGAGTGTTGTGTAGCTTTCTGCCTGTGTTAGATACCTCTTTTCCGTGTGGCAACTGCTTCTGCCAACTTCTGGGAAGTACCATGCTGACTCTGTGTGTGGTTTTTTTCTTTTTCTGATGTCAGGGTACATCACTCACTCTTTGGAGATGTGAAGAAACTTATTACTGATGAATTTGTGAAGCAGAAGTAAGTGATTTTTCTTGATACTGGTGTGAGCCATGTATTTTGTCTTTTACAACTGAGTGAGGTGTGTGTACACAAATGTATTATTCCTGAGTTTATGATATTTTAAAAAAAGAGTGTACTTATGCTCTCAAAGTCAATCTTCAGGACAACTCTGTAGGAAAAGATTATTATCTACCAGAGTTATGTATGTAAAAAAGCTAAAGCTTAGAGAGGTGGAGAAATTTGCTCATTGTTACATGGTTGTTGTTGTTGTTAAGTGCCGTCGACTTGCAGGCGACTCATAGTGACCCTATGAAGGAGAGTCCTCGATGCTTGGGTGCCTTTCATCCTCTCTCCAGGTTCATAGGGTTTCCAGAGGCAAGCTATTATGGAAATGGATGCCACTCCTCCTTCCAAGCTTGTTTTAATTGGGGAGCTCCACCCCACTCTCTGTCCGCATTGGGTAGCCAACCATTAATGCATTTGACACATCAATGTCACAGTGTTCAGCCTCACAGCAACCACAAGTGACCGCGGTAAGGCAACTTGTACAACAGGGCTATATGACCTAGAGGAATGTCTGAACAAAAACAATGAAAGACAGGCCCGAGGGCCACAGGCCCTTGGGCCCTTTTGGTCTTGAAGCCCCCTGCTGCCTTAAACCCTAGGCCAAGGTAGAGTAGTCCTTCACGTGCAAAAACTGCTACAACAACCACGCACATAGCACCATGCTCTCTCTGGCGACCAGGTCATAGCAGCCCTGGGAGGAGCAAACCTGGGAGCACATGGCTGCCTTCTCTCTCCTCTTCCCCTTTTAGGCTTGAAGCCCCCTGCTGCCTTAAACCCTAGGCTAAGCCTGGCGTACCTGGCTCTTGGAGGCAGAGTTACATGGTAGCAAATGAAAAAGTTGTGTTTAGAAACTGACTCAATGTCTTGGTTCTTTCTTCTATGCCAACCAGGGCATAAAAAAACCAGGGTATTTCAAGTAATAATAGAAATTATTTTCCATAAAAAAATGCCATAGAGTAGAAACTTCAGGGAGCCTTTCTGAAGACATAATATATTTCACTTCATTTTTACAAAAACTCTGTAGGGAGTTATCAACTAATTTTCTGTTTTATGTCTAAGGAACCTGAGGCTTAGACAGAGAAGTCTCTTGGTATGCTCCAGAATCATAATGGGACCGTTCGAGACAAATCCAGCTTGCCAGACTTTCTGGTCAGGGAAACGTGTATAGACTCACACACAGGCACACAGGAGTATTATATGGAGTATGCATGCAACACACTGCTTTTTAGTTGACTGTATTTCCTTTATGATTGACTTATATGGTGAACTTGGTTAGCCTATAGACAAGACCCTTGCTGTCAGATTTGCTCAGAGCAGGGGACCTGAATAATGGCTCCTCTGTGTACAACATATCCCACAGGAATCTGAGTTTATTGCCAAAAGGAGCACACAATCTGTAACTTCCCTGTGAACGAGTAACCTTCATGTTTCACCTGCACCTACAACATGCTTCTAATGGAAGAGGACTAATGGAGGAGAACTCAAGATTGGAAGGAAATACTGCAATATTTAAAACTTGTCCAGTCCATATGTGTGTGGCCCATGGGGATCTTACCAGTAAATGCCTTGTACTTCTCTTTTCAAGGTACTTGGATTATACCAGAGTCCCCAACAGTAGTCCCCCTGAGTATGAGTTCTTTTGGGGCCTACGTTCCTACTATGAGACCAGCAAGATGAAAGTCCTCAAGTTTGCATGCAAGGTAATTGGGAAGCTGCCTGAGCTTTACATACCAAGAACATGGAGAATTCTGGCTAACATAGCATGTGTTCACAGAATGGCCTAAAATTAATATATGAACATTATGAAGTTAATGTGCCAAATACTGTGCCAGATATGTTATCAAAATAATTTTGAATCTTTACAACTTTATGGTTCACATTATTGCAGATGAAAAAACTGAGTCCCAGAGAGACATCTTCAAAGTCACAGAGTTAGTTAAGAGCAGGTATGGAATATTAGGTACATAATTCCTAGCAGTATTTGTTCTATTTTATTACATTAAGCATGTAGTATAGTGGTTAGCGTACAATATAGGTGCTCAGTATTTTGAGTATGAGCCTTTTAATGGTTGTTATTTCCATTTCAGGTACAAAAAAAGGACCCCAAGGAATGGGCAGCTCAGTATCGAGAGGCGATGGAAGCAGATTTGAAGGCTGCAGCTGAGGCTGCCATTGAAGCCAAGGCTAGGGCTGAGATTAGAGATCAGATGGGTATTGGGCTTGGCTCTGAAAATGCTGCTGGGCCATGCAACTGGGATGAAGCAGATATTGGACCCTGGGCCAAAGCCCGGATCAAGGCAGGCAATGAAGCTAAAGCGAAAGCCCAAGAGAGTGGTGACACCAGTGCATGTGCCAACAGTGACTCCAATGCCAATTCCAGCCTGAATGCCACCCTTACATTTGGCCCCTTTGCTCGCTTCAGTGATGCTGGCACTGGTACCAATGGCAGCACGGGTGCCTGTGGTTTTTCCTACAAGTGATATTCTAGATATCTACCTTAGATTAGATAGGGAAAAGTATATATTTGTGTAGATGGGGTGAGGAATTGGGTTGTAACAAAAGACAAGTGTTGGAGATGATGTAGAAAATGGGAAAGCACTGTTAAGGTATTATATCCCTTTTTGTTTAGGGGATGTCAGTTGACTTTTTCATTTTATTTTACTTATGGTTTCATATATTGCTAATTCCCTTTAAGCCAGGGTGTGTCCTTGGAAGCCTACTCAATATAGCACTCTAGGCAGCCACTATCAAGCATTCAATTGAAGCTGACCCTTTATATTAAATCTGTTTGCTGTTTGTGGGTTTATGGTTTCTTTTTGATGGACTGTCATATTTTTTCAATTTTTAAAAATTATTATTTTCAATGAAAATTTACAAAGACTTTGTATTTCACTTCATTCATTGTTGCACTTTTCTCCCCTCCCAATCCCCCCCCCCATATACTCCCCTCTTGGAAAAGTAAAATTCTTTCATTCTTTTACAACCCCTCCAGCCAGGTCCACTCCACTATGCAGCCTTTGTTCTATACTCCTGTCATGACAATTCTCCCTCATGTTTCAATGCAGTATACTTTATTTAACCCATCTTTCTCAGTCTCCCCCCAACCCTGATGTCAGTCCTGTTTTACAACAGTGGTACCATGCAGTATTTGTCCTTTTGTGACTGAGATACTTAACTCAGCATAATGTCCTGCAGGGTCACCCATTTTGAATAATATTGCATGAGTTCCTTGTTTTTCAATGCAGCATAGTATTCCATTGTGTGAATATCCCACAGCTTCTCTATCCATTCGTTTGTTGATGGGCACTTAGGTTGTTTCCAACTCCTGGCTATTGTGAACAAAGCCGTGATAAACATGAGTGTGCATATATCTGCTTGGGTGGCAGCTCTGGTTTCTTCAGGGCATATTCCCAGTAGTGGGATTGCTGGTTCAAATGGTATCTCTATTTGCAACTTTTTGAGAAAGCGCCATACTGCCTTCCACAGTGGTTGCAACATTTTATACTTCTACCAACAGTTAATAAGGGTTCCAGTTTCTCCACAACCTCGCCAGCATTTGTTGCTTACTGTTCTGTTAAATTTTGCTGTTCTTACTGGGGTGAGATAATATCTCATAGTTGTTTTGATTTGCATCTCTCATTGAGCTAGGGATTTTGAACATTTCTTCATGTGTTTATTCGCCATCTGAATGTCTTCTTTGGTGAAGTGTCTGTTCATATCCTGTGCCCATTTTTCAATTGGATTTATTATTTACCTTTATCTTGTTGTGGTGGGACTGTCACATTTTTATATCACATTTTTTTAAAGTGAACTAGGAGAGTTTCTATGCTAAACGGCTTAATTTGATGTAGATTATCATGGCTCTCTAGGATATATATAGACTCAAACTTTAGCCTACAAAGCAGGTAGGATTTTAATGTGGTGGGCTCATAGAACATGTTGGCACAAAAGAAACACTTGGATAAAATATCCCTGAGCTATTCAAATCTGGAGTAGAAAGCAAAGTTAGTGTAGTCTGAAACAAAGAATTGACTATTTTGTTGAAAATGGGGAAGACAGGATTAAAGAAGGTAGGTAGCTAAAGAAATAAAAGAAGGGTTATTTGAATGACTGACTTATTCATCTCAGTTTCTGAGGAGGTGAGAGAAGATGGATTTCCAGAAGCCAGGGAGTGGCTGCTGTGTAGAGGGGACTCAGAGAGGAGACTATGAAAGAACATCAGACAGTAGAGAGGTGGCATTAGTTATATTCCTCGCAATGGAAAAACACATAATTTTTAGCTCATGCAGCCTTCAGTATGGACTGAGGCTCAATGTCAAGAAGACAAAGATTCTCACCACTGGACCAATTGGTAGCATCAGGATGGATGGCGAAG